TGCCTGTGGAGGTCAGAAGAGGGCGTCAGATCCCTGGAACTGGAGTTACAGACAGTTATTAGCTGCCATATGGGTGTTGGAATTCCAACCCGGGTCCTCTGCAAGAGAGGTCAGTGCTCTTAACCACTGAGCCATCTCTGCAGACCCTGTTTTTATTTCTTAAAAAGCTGCTATATACTTACAGCTAAGGAAATTTCAGGATCTTCCTCAAATGAATCTGCATCACTTTCCCCTGCCTGATACACTGTGACTCGATATACCTTAAAAAAAAAAAAAAAAAAGAATTGCATCAATTCACCCACCTTTTTAACCAGAAAGGCAGAATTCTTAGTAAGCCCTAAACTACACATGAGAAGCTCTAAAACAAAAGCCAAATGGAATGTAAAGGAGGAAAACTCAGACAGTAAAATCTACACCCACCATGGCTGAAGTTGATAGACGCTAAAAATTAAACAAAATATTCAAGTAAACTTTTACACTATAAACTGAGAGTATTAATAGGAAAACTACTAGAAATGTTGAAAGTATAGTCACCTTTAAGAAATAAGACATAAAGGTACTATTTGACTTTAACTGTATGTTATAGTAGCAAAAGGAGGAAACTAAATATTTTTAAGAATGTTCATTAAGATCTACTGAGTTTTGGACATTAGTAATATTAGAACATAATAAACCAGGCAATAGGGAACTACATGAAATTTCATCCCAAGGTTACAAAGCAATATTCTAGTCCGAACAAATCAAGAAGGAAAGATTTCAAGTAAAATCTGAATATATTACATCTTCAATCTTATCAAAGTCTATAAACATGGAAAACATTTTTTTTTTAAAACTTTAAGAGGTGAAAAACTACCTCATCATCTTCATCTGAGAGTTCTTGTCCTTCTTCACTAAGACTATAATCTTCTGAATCAAGAGATTCAACTTCAAATTCTACACTAAATTGATCAGAAACTGATTCTTGATCCAACCAATCACCAGAATGTTCACTTATACCATCGTCGAGATCCTATGGAGAAAGAATAAAGTAAACTTAAAATATATTACTTCTTGGCCTCAGTAAGAGCTTCCTAATTCATCCTGTGCCTGTGGTTTCCTTCTCAGGTCTATACTCTACACACTGGCACTTGAATAAGGCTCAAGGTTATTACACTAATACTATTTTCCATTTCAAAACTCCATTACATACAGGAAAAAGGACAGAGTCCCTTAGAACTTGTTATATACAATATGACTACATTAACATTTTCCAATGTCTCAAACTAGACACTCCCTCTTCCCCCTAACATGGGTACTACAGCCAGATCCAGACTGTTTTCTAATCAACCTTGATACTTCAACTTTCCTCACTAAAATACTTGAGTTTCTAAACCTAGCCCATCTTTCTTTGGCTAAGCCTCTGACAATACCATAAATGAAAGCGCTCTTCCACGTTTAATGCTCTTTCCTACCTATATGATTGTCAATTATACATTCATAAATTATGAAAAGCATAATTACAGGTTTCTCCTATTAGAAGAATTATAAGAGAACAAGACCTATCTTAATAATATTTATATAATCAGAATGGTAGTATGCTAGTTAAAGCACTCTAATAAAAATCAAGTATTTGTTTTAAAATGAACTTTGAGACGAACTTCCTTTAAAGAGCTTCAAAACAATTTTTAAAATTTATCTTTTAAATTCTGTATGTTTTCAACTGACTCCTCATTTTAGGATTTGATAAATAACCTACATCTTCAAGACTCTAAAATCTTTTGTTCAAGGCTAAGGGTAGGATCATATACAAAGCAGAAGGTCACAACTGAGAATCATACATAAGTCTAGTAGTCAGGAACAGGCATTATAATTAGTTTGTTCAGCTATTAATCTCAGACATTATCATTTAGCTTCTAAAGGCTACAGTTGCTTGAGCTATAAAAGGAGCTTGGACTGATCTATAAAATCTCTATCAACAAAAATAAAGTATATTATTTTATAAATTCCTAAGTCAACAGACTTTAGAGTATTGTTAATACAACAGTAGAAAAACCTAGACTCATGAAGAACTAGCTCTAATTCCTAACAAAAAATTCTACTGACACAGGTTTAAAACACAGTGACATCTTTAGCAACCCAACAAACTCAATCTTCCATTCAACTAAATTCTTCAGCATCAAAAGGCACATTCCACAGCAGGGGACTACCAACTGTGGCACAGCACTTTCATAATCTTTACTGAACAACACCATGCCTGTTTGTTTACATGCTGTCTACAGCTGCTTTTTTGTTAAGACAGAATTTAAAAGATTTAACAGAAACTAATGCATGCCCAAAGAGTTAGCCATTTGGCTTTCACAGAAAATTGACCAACCCCTTGTTCTAGGCTATGAAAAATTCAACACTGTTGAGGGGTACATAGACAGCTCAGTAGGTAAAGGCAACTAGCTGCCAGGCAGACTTTGACAATTTGTCCTATGACCCATATACATACACACAAAATTATGACAGGCATGCACACCCCCTCCCCCACACATATACAAAAATAAATGTTTAAAAAAAGAAGAAAAGCCAAGTGTCATGTCACGTGCCTTTAATTCCAGCACTCAGGAGGCAGAAGCAGGCAGATAGATCTCTGTGAGTTCGAGGCCAGCCTGGTCTCCATAGCAAGTTCCAGGACAGCTGGGGCTACAGGGAGACCCTGTCTCAAAAAGACCAAAAAGAAAAAAAAGTATGGGACAGGATTAACAGAAAAAAAACCTAAAACACTTCTACTCTGATTAATAGGCCATATTCTAGGTATAAAGCAAGAAAACAGATAAAATCGAAAGACTTCTGATACAACTTTAATAAACATTAAACTCTTAAAGAGTACAAGGGGAACCCACAAAGGTTGAGGATGTAGTTAAGTGGTAGAGCATTTGATAGGCCCTGGGTTCAGTCTCCAGTACCCCACCCCCCAAAAAAAGCGGGGGTGGGAGGTGAGCAGTTAATCTATTTTTTAAGATCATCTGTAAGGAATAAAATTAACCAAACTTTAAGTTTTGTGTATTCATCAGGCTTTCTTTAAATCTTCAGGTCACAGAAAAATCACTCAAGAACCAGTCAGTACATCTCACAGGACTTATTAAATGCTTTCATTATTCAATTGCTAATGGTCTGCTGAGGGCAGAAACCATATCTACCTGACTGCCATTTGATCTACAATGACAAATATGGAGTCTGGCATAGAAATGCCTTAAATATCTACTGAATAAAGAATTTGTTCTCAGACTAAACTGTTTCCATGAGTAACAGCTCTATTAAATACTCTGGAGGTAGGTACCTCTGTACTCTAAAATATACATGATACAAGAAGAAAAGGTAAAAAGGTAATAGGGTTGCTATCACAATTGGTTCAGTGTTCTATATTTTCTAGAGAACTATAAAATAATATCCAGACTGGCTAGCTTTCACAGGGCCAGAAGGTACTATGCAGCATGCAGAGAGGAGGGAGAAAATTCACCAACAAGGACTGGAGAGACAGCTCAGCAGTTAAGAGTGCTGGCTGCTCTTGTAGAAGACCCAGGTTCGGTTCCCAGCCCCTACATAGCAGCTAACAATTCCAGTTCCAGGGGTTCTTCTGCCCTCCTCAGGTATTGCATGACACAGGTGCACCTAAACATATGCAGGCAAAACACTCAATACAGCTATTTTTTTTCAAAAGTCATCAGTCTTACCCAGCTATGAACCCCACAAGCGACAATAACAAATGGCTTAGCAAGAGATGCTCATTGGCACAATAGTGGCATGATTGTTATAGGAGTATCAACTGCTTTCTGATTGAATATAAGGCCTGGTTCACAGAAGGAACTTATTCCTTGTACTGTAAGCCTGGCCAAGACCCATGGCTTAGAGAAGTCATAGGCCCTAGGGCAGAACCTACTATTAATCATTTTGCTAAGTAGACACAGTATCAAACTGCCTTCTAATTATTTATCTTTATAGTCATAGATTATTGTAGCTTTCAGACCTCATAAGAGAAGCTTCTTTTGGATGGTAGTTAATAGAGACAACTGGTCACAGAGCAAAAAATAACTGTGGAGTACTTAGCCTTAAAGCAGCATCTATATCACATACCTGCCCTCCTTCCTGTAAGGTTCAGGGAACACTTGGAAGAGGGCTGGGAAAGACTGTCAAAGCCAGACACTGGGGACGACTGCTGTGAAACAGCATTTTCTGAACCTGACACAGTTCAATCTGTGTACTCACGAACTTGCAGCAACTATAGTTACCAGTACAAGATCCAGCCAGTCAACATTCCAGCAAGGGTGAGGGACAGGTTCATGAGGCCATACCCCCTTACTGGAAGAGCTAGAGACTGTTGGTGGCTGCTGGGAAAGGGAGTCATTTTCTTCAACGTTGTGGCCTCTGGTAGGTTGCCCATCCTCCAGGGGAGAGCCCTACATGCACGTGCAGACAGCTAAACTAATTGGACCCAGTGGATTTTTTTTAAAAAAAAAGAGGACAAGAAGTTGGGAGGGAGAATGGAGGTAGATATGTTAAAATATACTATATATGTGTATGTATGGAACTCTCAAATCAATAAAAAAATTTTCAATCCAGAATACTGACCATGAGGCACTGCCACATATCTAAATTTGTGTGTGTGTGTGTGTGTGTGTGTGTGTGTGTGTGTGTATACACGCATATATTTTTTTTGGGGGGGGTCTTTTTGAGACAGGGTCTCCCTGTAGCCCCAGCTGTCCTGGAACTCACTATGTAGACCAGGCTGGCCTTGAACTCACAGAGATCCACCTGCCTCTGCCTCCCAAGTGCTGAGATTAAAGGTGTGTGCCACCACGCCCAGCCTGAAAATTTTTTTTAAATATTTAGAATATAGCTCAGTTAGGCAAGGCCGTGAAGGCCTTAAATACCAACATTCAGGAGGCAGGGGCAGGCAGATCTGTGAGATCAAGACCAGCCTGGTCTACATAGCAAGTTCCAGACCAGCTGAGGTTACAGGGAGACCCTATCTCAAAAAGATCAAAAAAATAAATATAGCACAGTAACAGAAGCTTACCTAACATGTGGAAGGCGTTCAATTGTCAACACTATATAAAAACCAAACAAAAGGCTGGAGAGATGGCTCAGAAGTTAAAAGTACTGACTGCTCTTGCAGAGGACCCAGGTTTGATTCCCAGCACCTAAATGGAGGCTAACAACCATTCCCAATGCCAGTTCCAGGGGATCTGACACACTCTTGTAACCTCTGTGGGCTCTGCACGACATGGGTGCCCTTACATACATGAAGGCAATATACGCATACATAAAATAGATAAATTAAAAAAAAAAATTTTCCAAATCAAACAAACAAGGGACTAGAGAGATGGTTCAGCAGTTAAGAGCACTGGCTGCTCTTGCAGAAAACTCAGGTTTGATTGCCAGCACCCATATGGCAGCTCACAACAATCTGTAACTCCAGTTCGAGAGGAATTCGATGTCTTTCTTCTGACCTCTGCAGGCATTGCATGACATGGATGTACTTACATACATGCAGGCAATACATTCATACATATAAAATAAAAATAAATATTTTTAAACAAAAACCCCTTTTATTACAGCTCGACTTCCAACAAATAAATCAGTAGGGTCTGAGCTCAACATCTGCTATACAAAGATCTAGAAATCAAAGGTCTAGTTAACAAATAGCTCTGGGGCATGAAGAGATGACTCAGCAGTTAAGAGCACTGCCTGTTCCTGCAGAAGACCCAGTTTGGATTTTCACACCCACATGGTAGCTAACAACCATCCACAACTCCAGTTCCAGGGGAATCCAACACCCTCTTCTGACCTCTGTGGGCACTGCACAACACAGGTACTCTTACACACATGCAGACAATACACTCATACACATAAAATTAAAAAATAATGAAATATAAAAAAAAACTTAGCTCTGTGAAACGTGGTGCACTATCATATGAACAATGGGTACTAGTACTGTCCATTCACTGATACTGAACAACTAAGCTATATCTCTCAACCTTTAAAAGGCTAAAATGTTTACTCCATAAACATTCTAGATAAGTTGAGAACATAGTTCAGGGTACAGAATTTGCCTGGCATGGGTAAGCCCCTGGGTTTCATCCTCAAGGAAACAATAAATAAATGAATAAATAATCAAGACAAACTTGCCTTAGAATTCTAAGGTGTAAAACTGAGCTAAATTTCCAGTTTTCTTTCCTTATTTTTTATAAAACAAGGCTTGACTTTTATTACCTAAAAAAGCTTTGTATTTATTTCACGTTCTGGCTCTGTGCTTGTGTCTTCAATACTTTCACAACAATCTTTCTACCCCTCATGAGAAGGCATGATTGATCTTGTACACACACATTTACCACACACAGAACCACAACCTCTGCTGATCTGTTTTTTGTTTTTGACAGTTTCATAAGGACTTTAGGTCTCACAGCACAAACCCCTCAAAGTGTGCCCAGGCACATACCATATGTGGATTCCGGTGATTCCCCAACCTTCTTGATGTAAAGGTAAACTCCTATTTACCACGGGTTTAAGAGAACCTAGTTCTGTTGAGTCTGTGTTGTAGTAAAGTCTACAACAGTGTGTCAAACACTGAACCATTCTGAGTGCCTCCAAGCACCGTCCCCAGAAGTGTTTCCCTTATTTTTTAAAAAGTGCAACTTCTAAATTTTCAAATTACACTACAACACCTGAGTTTACTACTGGTACAATGGTCCACAAAGATTCTCTAATATATGAGATGATATTAGTAACTATGGATGTTTGTTATTTTACCAATACCAGTGCTACTCGGTTCTCACCCATCTCCCCAAACTTAGAGGACTAGAAGCAGGGAGATCCATGTATATTTGAAATTAACCTCTATCACTGTGTTTAGCAATACTCTCATATCATATATGGGCTTATTAGAACTGCAGGCCCTAGACTCTTTAAAAAGCTTTGTTTCACGCCTTTAATCCTAGCACTTGGGAGGCAGAGGCAGGCGGATCTTTTTGAGTTTGAGGCCACCCTGGTCTATATAATGAGTTCCAGGACAGCTGGGGCTACAGGGAGACCCTGTCTCAAAGAGACAAAAAAAAAAAACAAAAAACCTTTGTTTCATTTAAAGCAAATAAATTACCTGATTTGAGGGAGTCTCTGTTGACTCACTGCTACTGCTTCTTTCACAGCATATCTCCCTTAACACACACAAAGCCAGGCTTTCATCAAAGGAAAGAGATCTGTGGCGCTTTCTTTGTCGTTCACCGGGTAATTCATCTGAGTTTTCTTCTAGATGTGTAAGGGGAAAATGGATAATTAAATTCCTGTGCTATGATTTGATTTAGAAATTGAAATGACTTCAGTACCTATTTATAACAATGAAATTAAAGAGAAAACAGCAAATTACTACTAATACCACAAGAAAGGCAACACTGTTTAATTGGATCTGTTCAACTAGGAGTTAAAGTTGTATTTGAAAGCTTTCCAGGGACTGGAGAGATGGCTCAGCCATTAAGAGCGTGTGTTGTTCTTATAATGGACCTGAGCTGGGTTCCCAGCACCCTCATCAGACAGTTCAATACCACCTGTAACTCCGGCTTAAGGGGAACCAATACCTCTTGCCTCCTCAGGTGGCTACATTCACATACCACAGACCCATATACACATAATTAAAAATATTTTTTTTAAATAAAGCTCTCTAACCTTCTTTCAGAACTTTATCTCCACAAATCACAATAAACTTAATCTACATAGAACTTTTACTAACCCAACAATCTATAATTCTTTGGTCAATGCCTAAGCTTTAGGAAGTAAAATTTCATCTACTTTTTATTACCAAAATTATTTAATTTATATAGAATATATTTTGGTTCTTTTTATTATGTTGGGTTTTTTTGGAAGGGTGTTGGGGATTGAACTCAGGACTTTATGCTAAGCAAATATATTCTATCAGTGACCTACACACCTGGCCCAGATGTTCTTAATGTTTCCCATTTTTTTAGCACTGAAATTATTTTGGAGTTTTTTGTTTTTTTAAAAGTTTCACTATGCTGCCCAGGCTGGTCTTGAATTTCTGGCTCAAACAATCCTGCCTCAGGCCTCCAAATAGTTGGGACTACAGGCTACAGGTGGATATATCCCTATCTAGATGGTACTCTGTATTTTCAACAGATAGAAAAACAAATGCAAACTATCCAATTTAAGTAACTACTTGACATACAAAGTCAGAATGTTAGTCAAATACTGCAGATATAAATGAAAGTCCTACTTATATCAGATATAAAAAGTAAATTCAGGGCTGGAGAAATGGCTCAGCTCTTGTAGAAGACCTGGGTTTGTTCCCAGCTTTCACATAGTTGGCAGCTCATAACCATCTGCAAACTCTAGATCCAGAGAATCGAAGACCCTCTTCTGACCTCGGTGGTCACCAGGCATGCACAGTGCACATACATATAAACAGGCAAAACATGTATACATAAAAAAATAAAATAAAAAAGGAGCCAAAGAGCTGCCTCAGCAGTTAAGAGAGTATACTGTTCTTGCAGAGGACCCAAGTTCAGTCCCCAGCACTCACATCAGGCAGCGCAAAACTGCCTGTAATTCGTTATAAGGGGATTCCAACCTATCTTAAAAAAAAAATTTTTTTTTTTTCCCCTCGGTCTTTTTGAGATAGGGTCTCCCTGTAGCTCCAGCTGTCCTGGAACTCACTATGTAAATCAGGCTGGCCTTGAACTCACAGAGATCCACCTGCCTCTGCCTCTTCAGTGCTGGGATATTATTATTTTATGTGTATGCATGTATTGCCTGCATGTAGGTAAGTGCACTCGTGTTGTGTACCGCCCGCGGAGGACAGAAGAGACTGTCAGATCCCCTGAAACTGGAGTTACAGACAGTTGTTAGCTGCCTTTTGGGTGCTGGGATTTGAACCTGGGTCTTCTGCAAGAACAATCAGTGTTCTTAACCGCTGAGCCATCCGTCTAGCCCCAAAACAGTGTGTATTTTTATTCCTATTATCTTGGTAATAAGGAGCTAGCTGACTATAAATTTCAATAGAGTATACTAAATAGTGTGCATTGTTTCCAGAAAGATGCATTGCTAAAATTGCAACTTATAAATTAAATAAATAGGAAAACAAAAAACCAAAAAAATGTATTCAACTATGGGCTAGGGGTGTGGCTCACTGGTAGTATTTTTCTAATATGCATTTCAATCCCAGGCACTAGACCCTCCCAAAATAGAAATTTATTCATTGATATCAAAACAGGAAAACAATTTCTTTGAACCTGAAAGGAGCATTTCATTAGAGAAAGAACATCAAACTATTTAATATGCCAAGTGAATAGTCATATATACCTGTCTCACTAATTGCTCTTCTTCTAGATGAGGTAGATGGTCTAGAAACTGAATCTGAAGATGAAGGCTTCTCTTCCTGTGGCTCTGGCATAGAGTCCTAAACATGAAAGGGGAGGATACAACAAAGTAAACTTACAACAATGGAAGCTATAAATTCTATTTTATGTAACCTTTCCAATTCTTAAGAAATACTGTATTCAAATCAGAAATTTGTAGATTACCTTTAGATCACTTCCACCTTCAAGATGACACCTGTTCTCATGCATAGATGTGGCAGAGTCTGACGGTTCTAAGAGAAAATAAACACAATCACAAATGAAGAAAAAAGCAATTCAACGGGTACCAGTCCAGCACAAGCCTCATAATACAATTTACTCTTTTATCAAACATTAACCAAGTGCCATTTGCATGCTACAAATTGGAGACATTAAAAAAAAATGGTAAAACAGTTAAATTATAAAGTAAGAAAATGAAAAGAAGTATATCCTAAGACAGACGTATTATTTGGTACTTATGGTGGAAAGAAGCTCTGAAGAACAAAGAATTGGGAATAGTGAAATGTGGAAACAGGGATACAAAAGGCAGTCCAGAGCAAGGACCAGAAGGACCAGAAACAAACAGTTCCTGTTGCATGGAACTAAAACAAATTCATTTTTACTGGACTCAAAGCAGGATCAGATTGTAAAAGACTATGTGTGTCAAACCAAACAGCACATTATGTCTACACGAGTGTGCACACTGATTCAGCAGTTATTTCAGAATTTTCCCTAAGGTAGTCTTACAGCTTCTCATCAGTAAATTTCTTATTCCAAGAAATAAAACTGATTTCTTATCTCACAGAACTATTCTCTCCAGAGAACAATCATAAAACTCCTAAATAAGGAGTGACAATTCACTCTGACAAAATGGAAGGGGTGTAACAAGGGAGAATGGTATTAAGAGGATCCCAAGAGTCTAGCTGGGAAAGAGATGTGTGATACCATTCACCAAGAAACAATTTTTAGAAAGGTAAAAGATTTGGATGGGAAAACAGTGAGTTCAAATGAGTTGTTCAGGTAGTCAGGCATAGTCTATACTTACATAGATCAAATTTTCAAAAGTGATCTAGGACTTGAAAATTTCTTTCTTTCTTTCTTTCTTTATTTATTTTTTTTGGTATTTTTGAGACAGGGTCTTCCTGTGTAGTCCCAGCTGACCTGGAACTCACTATGTAGACCAGGCTGGTCTTGAAGTCAGAGATCCATCTACCTCTGCCTCCCGAGTGCTGGAACTAAAGGCATGCGTCACCATGCCTGGCTTGAAAAATTACTTTTACTAAAACAAACCTAAAACTAAGAATGAAAAAAAGTAATCTACAGGTCACCCTTTGGTTTTTCCCTAGTAATCCACCAAGGTTTATTTAAATGAATACATTAGAGACACTTCAGAAAATTCAAGATAGTACTATAGATACCATAACTGTGTTTAGTCATCATTTGACTTCCACAAAGAACCTTACACCAGTAACTCCAGCACTTGCAAGGCAGAGGCAGACAGATCACAAATTCAAGGTTGGCCTGGGCTACTCTGTCTCAAAAACAAAACAAGCTACCAGCCTAATGGTTAACTTTGTTCTAGTTAAGATGTTGATGTCCTTTTCAGGCCCTACTTAAGTTATTTAATTCCAAATATATAACATATTAATAAAATACTATATTATACAGTATGCAAACCTGAACAGGACATTAGAAATGGCAATTAGTGAAACTGTAACAATAAAACCTGAATATAAAGTAACAGATCACAAGAGTGGCGAGTTCACTCTGAGAAACAAACTTCTAAAACAGCTCTTAATCACAGTTTAAGGATAAACTGTATAAAGTTTCTAATGTTCTGAGTCTATTCCTACCAGTACTTGAAAACACACCAACTGGTCAGTGTATACCTAGCACTTGGGAGGCTGAGCAGGAAGATTATTACTTTCAAGCAGCATAGGTTACATAATGGGATCCTGTTCCCAAGATATCTAAAAAGAAAAAAGTGGGGATCTCTGTGAGTTCAAAGCCAGCCTGGTCTATATAGTGAGTTCCAGGTCAGCTGGGACTACAAGGAGACCCTGTCTCAAAAGACCAAAATAAAAGAAAAAAGTGGAGAAGAGGATACTATTATCTCTTGCCAACTCAACATTTATATAATGTGGAAATAAGAATATTTACACTATGAAAATCAGCAACCACTAGAAATTCGTGTCTTCCCATGGAAAGCAGCTTGTTAAAAAGGTATCAGAATACTGTGCATCCAGTACCTTTATTAGATTCTCAAAGAGACTCTGTGTTCAACTCCCAGCACCACAAAACTACAGAAAGAGAGCTAAAATGCCACTCACATAAAAACTGGCAAAGTTTTGTCTATGTATATATGTACTTACATATGAAAGAAACACAGAAGGAAAGGAAAAGAAAGGAGGGAGGGAAGAAGGGAGAGATCCCATTCTTTCAAATATTCCTAAGTAATTACTTCCCAAAGCATTTCAATACATTTCAAGGTTTGATCACATTTCTAAAAATAACTTTTGACACTATCTACTTTTCCAAAATAAATTCTAACATCCCAAGGTTTCAACAGACATAAAAGGACATTCAACTTTATATTACAATTTTCAATAATACAGTTTTAGCTCATATTCATTTTCTCTTACTAAAGTTTATACTTTTACAATAATTACATATAAAGTAACTTTTAAAAAGAATTACATGGGGGCTGGCAAGATGGCTCAAAAGGTAAGGGTACTTTTGCCAAGCCTGATAACCCAAATTAAATCCCAAGGTCCATCTCTGGGACCAACAGACTAAAAGAAGGTAACTATCATAAGGAGTCCTTTAACTTTCATACACACACAGTGGCACACATGCACATTAGCCACACATACAAATAAATAAAATTTAAAAATTTTAAATTTTTTTAAAGAGAATCATGAGACTGAGAGATGTAGTGGAAGAGCACAGCACTTTCCAGGCATGGACAACATACTGGGTTCAATTCAATTAATAAATTCATGAATGCCAAGTGGGCTGTAATCCCACATACTTGGGAGGCTGGAGCAGGAAGATTTAAGTTCTGAATAATTTATGGAGCTCCTGTCAAAAACAAAAGACTGGGCTGGTAGCACATACCTTTATTTCCAGCACTTGGAAGCAGAGGCAGAAGGATCTTTGTGAGTTCAAGACCAGCCTTGTCTACATACAGAGCTCCAGGCCAGCCAGGGCTACATAATGAGACCCTGTCCAAAAAACAAAACAAATGTAAATAAAAGAGAACCACGATTACAAAATATTTTTATATAATGACAATACAACGTGCTGTTTTGCTTTTTTTGTTTTATAATGGTGAAAATTAAAGCCAGAACTCTACACATGCAAGACAAGCACGCTACCACTGAGAATACCTCTGTTTCCAAAATATTATGACAGGTTGGTGAGATGGCTCAGTGGGTAAAATCACTTGCTGTGTAAGCCTGAAAACCCAAGTTGGATCCCTGGAGAACGAAAACACACACACACACACACACACACACACACACACACTGGAGAGAACCAACACCATAAAGTTGTTTTCTGACTTCCACATGTGTGCCATGGCACCCATCCCTAGCCCTCACAATAAATTTTGTTTTAATTCAAGGTCATACTACATAAAGTGTTTGAGGTCAGACTAGGATACATGAGACCTTATCTCAAAATTATTATCTTTTTAAAAACTTTTATCTTTTTAAAAACATTATAGTATACGAGGCTACAAAGATGGTTCAGTAGTTAATAGCAGGTACTGCTCTCACGGAGTTCAGTTCCCAGCACCCACGATAAGTGACTCACAATCACCTGTGACTTGAAGCTCCAGAGGATTCAATACCCTCTTCTGGCTTTTGTGGGTACCAACATGCACACACACACACAATTTTTTTAATCTTTAAAATAAGTTATATTATGTTCATAGTATTCAAAATTAACTTACCTTGCTGATTTACTACCACCAAATTTCTGTAGATCATTGTATATATTTTCCTTGTAAGAAAAAAAAAAACGTTTTACATTACAGTGAAACTAAACTGGATTTAACCAGACTTTTAAATGTATGTTTAGTGTTAACTACTGTACATACTCAAAACCATTATTTTAAATCATTACACATTTATCACTTGCAAGCTTCTAGGCACTAACAAGTATCAATTAGAAACACAAATATCATATGCAGTTACTTTCAATAACCACCAATGTTCTTCTAGCTCAAAGACTATCATCTCCCAATTCCTGATGTGTTCTGCTTGGATTTTACCAAGATCTCAAGAAAGTGTGGGTGTGTAAGCAGGGGGCAGATTAGCAGAATAATTTTCAAAGAGAAGTTTTTTAGCACTGAGGCCAGCAAGATGGCAAAACGGCTCAGGTAAAGATGCCTGCCACCAAGCCTGACAACCTGAGCTCAACCCCAGGAAAGAGAACTAACTCCCACCAGTTGTTCTCTGACTCCCAATCATGGACACCTTAGTATGTGCATGCCCACACACATACATATACACATACACTAAAAATAAATAAAAATGTAACTTTGAAAAATGTAAAGACCTTTTCTTTGTACTTTGATTAGAAGCAAACTGCCTTTAAAAACAATACGTCTTTAATCTGAGTACTAGGGTGGCAAAGTTAGGCAGATTTCTGTGAGACCAAGGCAAGTCTGGTCTACAGAGCAAGTTCTAGGCCAGCTGGGGCTACAGGGATACCCTGTTTCAAAAAAATAAAAACAAAAGCAAAAAAGAAGTAATGAATGATAAAGGAAACACAACTAATAAGAACTTGATTATAAAAAAAAAAAACTTGATTATAATCCTCTCATCAACCCTAGACCAATCATTTAATGGATTCTTTTCCTTGATCTTAAAATTTATCAAAAAACAAAGGAGTATTCACTTTTCAATAAATACAAGCTGAGAATCTATTCTAAATACTGGGGAAAAAAAGAACGAGAGATCTCTGCCTCAGTGGAGCTTCTACCCTAACAAGAAGGCAATTGTCTTCTAGTATTTACTGTCTAGCTAGTATTCACTCATGTCACAGCATACTTGTCTTTTGTTTAAACTAGTGCCAATAATGTGTATTTGTCATAAGATTATCACTCCTAATTCTCAAGGTTAAAGGGAAAGTTTCACTTTCCCTTTATATCTTTTTACCCTTGAGAGTGATTAGGTTTTTCTTTGTTTGTATTGCTGAGAATGGAACCAAGGGCCTCACACACGACAGGCACATGCTTTACCCCAAGCTACACCCTTGGTCTTTGATATAGTAACTAAAACTTTCAACAAAATACATTACTTCAGTTGGGCATGGTGGTGCTCGCCTTTAATCCCAGAATTCAGGAGGCACTGGGGAGGCAGAGGCAGGCAGATCTCAGTGAGATCAGGGCCAAAGCTAGTTCCAGGCCAGCTGGAGCTACAGGAACAGGCTATCTCAAATAACTAAATAAATAAGGGCCATGTGTGGTGGTGCATGCCTTTAGTCCCAGCACTCGGGAGGCAGAGGCAGGCGGATCTCTGTGAGTTCAAGGCCAGCCTGATCTACATAGTGAGTTCCAGGACAGCTGGGGCTACAGGGAGACCCTGTCTCAAAAAGCCCATAAATAAATAAATAACTTCATTACATAACTTTTTTTTTTAATGTGCATGAGTGTATTGCCTGCATGTACATGAGTGCACCCATGTTGTACAATGCCAGAGGCCAGAAGAGGGTTTGGGATTCCCCTGGAACTGGAGTTAAGGATGGTTCATAGCCGCCATGTGGGTGCTGGGAATCAAAGCCGGGTCCTCTACAAGAGCAGTCAGTACTCTTAACTGCTGAGCCATCTCTCCAGCCCCGTTACATAACTTTACAAGTCCAAAATTTCCCGTGATGGATTCAAGTCAAAAATGATCTTTAAATTATGCTTTCCAAATCAGTAACTGTACTTCCAAACATTACTAGAAAATTCAATACTCAAATGACACAAAATCACCAATAATTACTTCTTGAAATCATAAGGTTAATTCTTATATCCCAAGGTCAACTATAAAAAAACATAAGCAGATATTACAAAAGTTCACCTATGGTAAAATGCTTCTATAACATTAAATTAACGGGTTGGAGAGATGGCTCAGCGATTAAGAGCACTGACTCTTACTCTTAAGAGCACACCCTCTTCTGGCCTCTAAAGGCACTGTATGACACAGGTGCACTTACATACATGCAGGCAAAACACACATATACATAATCTTTGAATTACTGATCAGGTACTATTAAGAAATACCTAGCTGGGTATAGTGCACATACCTTAAATCCCAGAACTTGGGAGGTAGAAGCAAGCGGTCTCTGTGAGTTAAAGGCCAGCCTGGTCTAATAGTGAATTCCAGGACAGCTGGAGCTACAGGTAAAAAAAAAAAAAAAAAAAAAAAAAAAAAAAAAAAAAAAGAAAGGGAGCTAGAGAAATGACTTAGCAATTAAGAGCACTGGTTGCTCTTGCAGAGGACACAGGTTCAGCTTTCAGCACCTACATGGTGGCTAACAACCATTTGTAACTCCAGTTCCAGAGGATCCAACACACTCTTCTGATCTCTGCCAGCACTGTAGACATGTGGTACACTTACTTACAAGCAGACAAAACACTCATACACATAAAAATAAATCAAACAACATGTTTTAAAACAGCAAGGGGATGGAGAGATAACTCAGCAATTAAGAATACTGGCTACTCTCTAGCAGCAAACCCAGTTTCTATCCCCAAGCACCCACATGGTGGCTAACAACCATCTATAATGCCAGTTTTAGGGGATCTGATGCCTTCTTCTGGCCTCCCTGGGCACCGTATGACACAGGTGCACTTAATATAAATGAAGACAAAACATATACATAAAACAGAAATATATAATTTTTAAATAAGCAAAATGAGGACTGGAGATACAGCTCAGCTGGTAGAATATTTTTGCCTAGCATATAAGAAACCCTGGGTTTGAGCCCTAGCATCACATAAAAACAGGCATGGTAGCACATACACTTGGGAGGTAGAGGCAGGAAGATCAGAACTTCAAGCTACATAGGAAGTTCAAGACCAACTTCAGAGACATTAAGATACTATCTGAAAAAACTCCAGACAGGCTAAAAACTGGGGGAAGTCCAAGCATCCAATCAAAGCACCAAAACAAAGTTTTTAAACGAGCATGGTGGCACACCATCCCAGTGGTCAGGAGGAAGAGGCAGTTGAATCTCTGTGAGTTCAAGGCCAGCCTGGTCTACATAACAAGCTCAGGCCAGCTGGGGCTACAGAGAGACCCTGTCTCAAAAAGACCAATAAAAATAAAAATAAAAAATACACTTTTTGGTAGCAAGGTCATTTTTTTCTAGTCTTCATGAGCTGTCTTTTCCTAGTGCTCAATAATAAATACACATTATACTTATAATGAAGTTGTTTTAAAGTTATAGAAATCTTTTTCAATATGATAAATGTTGTTTTTTTTTTCCTATAGTGCTAGGAATCAAACCCAGAGCCTATTGCATGCTAGGGCAAGTGCTCTACTTCTGTGATAGAATTATTGAGCATTAAATATTAACAGACTCTAGTTAACTGTTTCAGGTGGCAAGTATTCGTATCACTTAAATACTAAGGGTCAAGAAAGACTGGCTGTGGTAAACTAGGACAATAAATTCCAAATATAATAATAATTTTTAAAAAGGTTTGCAGTTATCAACAGAATAATTCTAGAAATGTTATCTAGGTTAAATTCAGTTGATTAACCTACTCTAACTGTATACAACAAATAAATTTAAAAGATTTCCAAACCAACAAAGGCTTAACTTAAGCCCCATGGTAGTATAAAGACTGCCTTCACAAGTGACTACAGTAGTAATTTTTTGTACTTTGGTAAATACCTAAATGTTTTCATAAGCCAAACACTAAAATCTTTTCACAATCTCTTCAAGACACTTGTAACTCTGAATGAGGTATTTACATTACTCTATTTTATAAATAAACTAAGGCTCAGAGAAGTTAGATCAGTTTACCTATACCCACAGATGACTGGTTTATCTTAAGAACATATTTTTAAGGGCTGGTGAGATGGCTTTCAGGCCAAGCCTGATGACCTGAGTTGAATCCCTAGGAATCCATACGGTAGGAGAGAACTCACTCCCCAAAAGTTGTCCTCTGACCACACATGACATGGCATGTGTGGTAGTTTGAATGAGATTGTTCCCCCTATAGGCTCCAAGTATTTGAACATTTTGTCCCACTTGGTGGTGCTATTTCGGGAGGTCTTAGAAAGTGTGGCCATGCTAGAGGAAGCACATCACTAGCGGCTGGCTTAGAGAGTTCTTAAATCTTGTGGGATCTCTAGTCAAGTGCTGCTTCCTGTGTCTGCTTGAAGATGTGAGAGCTTAGCTTCTGTTCCTACTCCAGCCACCTCTGTTGCCCATGGATCCCCACTACGGACTCTTGCCCCTTTGGAACCATAAGCTAAATAAACCCTTCCTTTTTTAAGTGTCCTTGGTCATGGTGTTTCTATCACAGCAACAGAAAACACAACATGTGTATGCGAGCACACACATGCACACATGCACAAATAAAAATGTAATGTGTTTATAAAGAGTAGGCTTTTTAGAGTCCAGAGTTCAGGTTCTCAAACAATATGATACAAACCCAAGAAACCAATTATTAGGTCCAGGGATATAATAGAACCCCTGCATAGCACACAGAAGGACCTGGTTAAATATCCAACACTGTCCTTCCCCTGCCAAAAGAAACTAATTTTAGCATTTTATACATATGGTTACACAATTCATCTCTGACAAGAAGTAAGGGTGGAGATGAGCTGCCCAGCTGGTTTTTCACAATTGACTAAACAGAAGAATTTACCTGTGCTCTTTCACAGAGAAGCTTGGCACACCAAACAAATCTCCTAGAAGATCATTTGAACAGTACACAATATGTTGCTGCTTCTCATCATATAATCTTTTAGTCATAATATACTGGCCAAGATAAAATATAATCTGAAATAGAAATACAATTTCTGAGCATTAAAGAAAAATGTTAGTTTCAAGTACATTTAATACACCATTTATCTGAACTAATCAAGATTATATTAGCCACCACATCCACAATCATGTAGAACAGACATTTTGTACTCTAGAAGCTTCTTTTACACGTTTTCCTTTTAACTTGACAGAGGCAGAAGTAACTGCTTTCCTCATTCACTGAACTATGGATTTTCCCCCCCTTTTTTGGGAACTTGAACCACACCCAGAAATCAAGATACTAACATACTAGAAAAGGAAAAGGAAGCAAAATGTGAAAATTGACAACTAACTATGGCAGTGATTTCAATCCATTTGGTGAACAGACACAAAGACCACATACTTCAACAGCTCTGAGGCCATTATAGAGAAGACAGGAGAGAGACCAATAGCATCTTCCCAACAGTTTGGGAGAAAATAATATACAAAGTCAGTCAGTGGAATAAAATTTCAAAGTTATAGCCAGGCATGCTGTTGCACACTTAGTCCTCCCAGCACTCAGGAGGCAGAGGCAGTTGATCTCTGTGAAATTAAGACCAGCCTGGTCTACATTTTTTGAAACCCTGTCTCAAAAAAATCAAAAACAAAAACAAAAATCAGTTACTAATGTAACCTACACTATAAAGTCAAAATAACAGGCCCAACCATTGATATAAAATTATTAAGTCAAGGCAAGCAATATGCTTTTAAGTTACCCCAGTACAAATGTATCAACAACCTAAATCAGTACAGGATTTCAGTTTACAATCCAACTTTTTACAGTCTCATCATTTTGACACTCATGTTGTATGAGAAATGAGGAAGGGACCGGGAGTGTAGTTCAATGGCAAAGCATATGCTCCCTGAATCTGACCCCCAGCACCACAAAACAGATGAGCAAACTGACCCTAGGTCTTCTGACACCTATCCCAATGCTCTGTCGACTACCCCATTGACTTTAACTGCTTTCTCAAGTGCCCTGGAACAAAGGTCTTATAATTGAAAACTCCAGCCCTCTGAACCTGTTAAGTCTACTACCTCTACAGATTCAACAGACTGTGGATTTAAAATATTCTAAAATATGAGGCTGGAGAGATGGCTTAGCAGTTAGGGACACTGGCTATTCTTCCAGAGGATACAGGTTCATTTCCCAGCATCCACACGGCAGCTAACAACCATGTGTAACTTCAGCTCCCGGGGATCTAGCGCCCTCTTTTGACCTTTGTGGGCAATGCACAACATGGTTGTGCCTACATACAAGCAGGCAATATACTCATATCATTTAAAAAAAAATTTATTCCAAAATAAAAATTACATCTGTCCTGAATGTACTTTTTTCCTTGTCTGTACTCCTTAAATAATAATAGTTGTTATAAGTATTACAGGTAACCTAGAGACGATTTAAAAGCATAAAGGAGGCTATGTACAGATTACATGTGAAATTATTCCATTTTACTATGTAAAATATTAGAGAGGTTCTGAAATCAATCCTTTACAGAAGGCAGAGGAACACTGCTGTGCTACTGCCACACAGCCTAGCATAAGCATTTTAAATCTTTATGCTAGCTTTCATCTACTTTCTCATGTCTACTGCTACATCTATACTTTTGTTTGTTTCTGTACTGATTATATAAGGTCAATCCCAAATTAGTAGCCCCAAACACATCATTTAACTTGCCATTCCTACATTAAGTACTGCCTAGGAACTTAACAAAGGAATCAGTCAGTCAATCAATCTTAAAGGAACAATCCTACATGACTATGGATTAGAGACACTGTTGACATGCAGTGGGAAAAGAAGGAAGAATATCTAGATTCCTCCTACCAAGCACTGTTTGAGAAGTTTAACCAGCCACAAGAAAAGAACTTTAGTGTTTTAAGTACGCCTCATAACCTAAGTGGGAGAGATGAGAAATGGGTTCATTTCATTCACTGAAATCTTGTCTAAATTAACCCAATCCCCCATATTTCTATTAATAAATTTTATGTTAAAGAATACATTGAAATGTTGTTATATCCATGAAATAGAAGTTCATGAGTCAGCTCACTTCCATCCCAGAATTTCAGTACAGTATGTTGTACTAAAGTATTTCTAGTATGAATGTTCCTTTTTTTGTTTGTTTTGGTTGGGGGGGGAGGGGACAAGCCCTAGCTGGCCTGCAACTCACTATGTAAACCATGCTGGCCTCAATCTCGCAGAGATATGCCTACCACTTCCTCCCAAGTGCCTGAATTAAAGGTGTGTACCACCACGCCTAGCCACGCATGGGTTACTTAACCTGGGATTCAGGGATGCCCAAGTCCTTAGAATTCAAGGAGTCCATTAATTTAGATGGGGAAAAAAAATTCTTTTGATCTTTACTTTCACCAAATTTGACTGAAACTTAAGTTTTCCCCTCAATCATGAATGTAAGCAACAAAGCACAATTATTTGTAATACCTGTGATTTTTATTCCTTGCTACATCAAGATCATACTTATTAGATATAGTGTGAGTATTTTGTTAATTCAAAAAGCATACATTGGGCCAGGCTTAGAAGCTCAAACCTTTCATCTCAGCATTTGGGAGGCAGAGGCAGGCAGATCTGTGAGTTCAAGCCCAACCTGGTGTACATAGCAAGTTCCAGGTCAGCTGGGACTATAAAGAGATTCTATCTCAAAAAAAAAAAAAAAAAAAAAAAGCATACATTGGGTCAGTGAGATGGTTCAGCAAGTAAAGGGAACTTGTCACCATGCCTGATGACTTGAGTTTGATTTCCCAAAACCCACATGGTATCCCAGTTATTCTCTGATATCCACTATGAGCAAGTATAACACACAAAATGTAATGGAAAAAAATTTTAATTAACTAGTTTCAAGCTAAGAAAATGAAAACTTGGGTGTTGGTGAGGTCTGGCTGCTTTTGCAGAGGACCTGAATTCAGTTCCCAGCACCCACAGGGCAGCTAATAACCCTACTATACTCCAGTTCCAGAGGACCTGAAATCCCTATTCTGACCTCCACAGGCATTGCACATATGGGTACATTTATATATACGTACATGTAAAAGTCATACACATAAAATAAAAATAAAAACAAATGCTTTAAAAAGAAATGAAACTCATACAAATACAATTAGAGATTTTAGCCTCAAAATATAGTCCAGATGATCACAAAACTTAATGTTTTTTATTATAAAAATCTTTCTATTCACCAATTCACCCATGATCTTGAAAAAACTGTTAAGTATGGCCATATTAGCTATTTCTCTATCAATTCTGCTTACCTCTTTCATAGTATAAGTATCTTTTTGGGCACCAACAGACTTTAGTAACTTCAAAAGCAATGGCTTTGGTCTAACCTATAAAAGAAAGAGAGAGGCTATTAGACTTGCACAATTATTCTAGACTGTAAGCCCTGTAGCAAATGTCCAGAAAGAAATCCAATAAAGACCACATTTAACAATTTTACAAAGTCAAACCTCTCAGCAATATAGACTAAGTAAACTGAATACCACAGATGTTCAAGAGTTTGGGGGGGCGGGGGGAGCTGTTTGGGAGAAACTAATTATGTAAATATCAAAGACTCATCAAGTACTATTAGTTGTGATAAAAAATATACCAATTCCAAGACCATAAATATTCTTTTCCTCTATCATCTGCTTACTGATTTACAATAATAAACAGTTGAGATCCAATAAGCTTACTGTACTGTGCAGAGCCAATGAGCTTGCTATTAAGTGAATTTAAGAGAATGCATAACAGAATACCTCTTCAGAGTGAGTCCTCATAACAATCTGCTACAGACCAGGTGTCTATTAGAGAATTTAAATAACTAACCCATGCAGACAATGAGCAGTTGTTGTAACAAGCAGTTCTAAAACTACAATTCATATCCCTCAACTACAGTTCAACATTTTCATCCTATATGGTTTACACTTCAAATATCTGCTCAATAATCATTTATTGAGCATCTACAATGCACCAAACAAGGCTAGGTACTGAAAAAATTTACAAAACACAGTTCTTTTATATTTAAGGAACATTCCAACTACACCAGAGAACCTAGAAGTTTTTCTTTTTTTCCATGTCTGACTATCTATCCAACTAAAACCAATGGTATAGTAGGAACACATTACAATAAATTTTACTTACAAAAACAGGTAGCAGGCCAAATTTAACCTAAAGGCTGTGGCTTACCTTACCTTAATCTAGGTTTCCAAGTAGTATTTTAAAAAATAACTGGTGGGCTGGAGAGACGAGTCAGCAGTTAAGAGCACTTGCTGCTATTCCAAAGGACCCCGGTTCGGTTCCCAGCACCCACATGCCAGCTGACAACTGTCCATAACTCCAGTTCCGGGAATCTGACACCATGTTCTGACTTCTGCAGGTACCAGGCACAGAGATGGTACACCCACATATGTGCAGGCAAAACACTCATACACATTAGAAAAAAAAAATTAATTAACTAGCAAATAGCCACTCATAGAGCAGCTGCTAAGGCCAGTATAACAGCTAGTACCGTCTACCAGTATAGCAATACCACAGAGCACCATGATAAAGTGGCACTGAACTTGCTAAAGCCACTTGGTACAGTCAGAAACCAAAGTTTATTAACACCCTCTCTAAAGATGTTCTGTTTTTCACAGCTTTAATGATCATACCACCTGCTGGGTTGTAGCCCACCACTAAAAACTATATTTAAAGGTGCCCCATGGATGTCCAATAAGGACAGTTATTTTTATGCTGCTATAGTTACAGGGGCTGATGTTCATGTGGTGTTGTCCCTCTATGTGGTCTGGAATATGGCCTCATGATGGTAACATAAACAGGGTTAAAATGAACATTATTTTTTGCCAGCATTAAATTTATTTTTTAAATATGGTAAATGCTCCTGGAATATTGATAATACATTTACTTGATTAAAGTTGAAAGAACATGTCTGAAAAACTGGGATGAAGGAGGCGTGTAATGTGCTTATACTTTCTCCTTCCTTCGGATGGGGATGTGTCAATATCTGCAAAACTCCCATTTTTACAGCTTGCCACAACACAAACCAGTATCTCTGTACATGTCTTCAACATGCCCCTGTCCTATACATAACATTGAAATCTGACACAAGTTCCATTTGGAAATCTAATGCTCAAAAATCAACTTAAAACTATTTTCAGCAGGATGGAGAGAGAGTTCAGCAGTTAAGAGCACTGGATGTTCTTGCAGAGGACCCAGGTTTGATTCCCAGCACCCACATGGAGGTTAAATGTCTGTATCTCCAGTTCCAAGGGGAATCTGATGACCTCTTCTGACCTCTGTGTTGGCTTTGCACAACATGAATGCACTTACATACATATAGGCAATACACTGATACACATAAAAAACAGTATTTTTTTAAAAACCTATTTCCAGCTAATCTACTGAACAAATTACTTAGTAACTGAAAAAAGCTTAAAATGCATACTAAATATAAGACTGAATTGTTTTGTTCACACATTTTTTCTTTTTTCTAAGACTTTTGTTTTGAGACAGGGTCTTCCTGTAGCCACAAAAGGCCTGGAACTTGCTATACAGAACAGGCTGGCCTCAATCTCACAGAGATCCACTGACTCTGCCTCTCCAGTGCTGGAACTAAAGGCATGTGCAGCCACACCCAGCTTTCTAAGACTTTCTTATTTTCAACTCAGTTTTAGGTTCACACACTTACAAGTGCACTTATAGATACAACTTTACTTTCAGATTAAAGGATGCATTCTCAGAAAAAAATTGAAGATTACTTTTTTAAAATTTTATTTATTATTATTTTATGTGTATGAGTGTATTGCTTGCATGTATGTGAGTGCACCTGTGTCGTGCAATGCTGCAGAGGTCAGAAAAAGGCTTCGGATTCCCCTGGAACAGGACTTAAGGATGGTTCGTAGCCGCCAAGTGGGTGCTGGGAATTGAACCCGGGTCCTCGCAAGAGCAGTCAGTGCTCTTAATCGCTGAGCCATCTCTCCAGCCCCCAAAGATTACTTTTTAATGTTTAATTTTTTATGTCACTCTATACAGAGATCATGCTCATTTATCAATTTTAGCACATGTACTACCTAAGCAAGAACCTCCCAATTTTTACATAATGAAGTAACTCAATGTTAAATAAGTCAATTTCTTTTTTCTTTTGAGTCCAAAGCCTTAATTATGTCCTTGGCATTTAAGAAGACTCAAATCGAGGCTGGAGAGATGGCTCAGCGGTTAAAAGCACTGACTGCTCATGCAGAGGACCCAGGTTTGATTCCCAGCATCCACATGGCGGCTAGAAACCATCCTTAACTCCAGTTCCAGGGGAATCCGAAGCCTTTTTCTGACCTCTGCGGCACTGTATGACATGGGTGCACTCACATACATGCAGGCAATACACTCAATACACATAAAATAAAAATATTTTTTAAAAAAAGAAGACTCAAGTCTTACAACTTTTTCTTGACTTTCATGTAAGTCAGATTAACTTATCATTGCTCAAGTAGTCCCTCTTACCTGTTCTAGCTCTTCTGATGTTTTTCTTTCTTTCTTTTTTTTTTTTTTTTTTTTGGTCTTTTTGAGACTGAGTCTTCCTGTAGCCCTAGCTGGCCTGGAACTCACTATGTAGACCAGGCTGGCTTTGAACTCACAGAGATCCAGCTACCTCTGCCTCCTGAGTGCTGGGACTAAAGGTGTGTGCCACCACTCCTGGCACTAAGTCAGTTTCTTATTAAGGCTTACAAAAGTTAATAAAAAACCACTATAAAAAGCACTTTGTAATCTTCTACATAAGAACACAAAGATAATTCCAATTAAAGATTTACGTGTAAAACTTTTAAAATGCTGTAATTGCCGGGCATGGTGGCGCATGCCTTTAATCCCAGCACTCAGGAGGCAGAGGCAGGCAGATCTCTGTGAGTTCGAGGCCAGCCTGGTCTCCACAGCGAATCCAGGACAGCTAGGGCTACAGGGAGACCCTCTCAAAAAGTCTCAAAAAGAAAAAAAAAAAAAAAAAAAAAAAAAAAAGCTGTAATACAGAAATACCTGTATAACCGCATAATCTTGAAATGGGAAAGTACTACAGAAAAATTCAAGCCATTAAAAGTAAACAAAATTGAATAACAAATATTTTCAATAGGGAAAAGACACATCAAGTTGCATTACAGTATTTAACTTTTTTAATTCTTAGATTTCACTAATTGTATTTTTATTTTTTTAATGTGTATGAGTGTACTGCCCGTATGCATCCAAGTGCAGCCATGTCCCACAATGCAGTGAAGTCAGAAGAGGGCATCGGATCCCCTTGGAAGTGGAGTTACAGTTGTTAGCTGCCATGTGGGTGCTGAGAATCAAACTTGAGTCCTCTGTAAGAGCAGTCAATGCTCTTAACTGCTGAGCCATCTCGCCAGCCCCTAGTTGCATTATTTCTAATTACATGTACATATGTCTATGTATGTATGCCACATGCATCCTGGCACCTGAGGAGGCCAGAAGAGGGCACTGGACAATCTGGAGCTAGATTTACAGGCAGTTGTAAGGCCACCCAGAATGGGTGTTTCATGGGTGCTAGGAACTGAACTTAGGTCCTCTAAGTGAGATGGGCCATCTCACCACCCCCAAATACAGTATTTGTAAACAAGTTAACTACATTTGAAATGCAGAGACTTATAGAGAATTAAGCCATTAAGAAAAAACTATCAAGGGAGGGAAGGAGGGAGGGAGGATAGGTTTCAGGCAAACCCCAGAATAAAGAAGTTATTTAACAAATGAAGATTTGGAGCACATGTATTGAAACACAGTACTGCCAAAAGACATTAGCTTACAGTTTATTGTATTTTATAAAGAACTAAATTTCCAACACAGAAATGATAAACAGTTAAGGAAGGAAAGCTAACTGCCTTGATTTGATCATTGTATCTTGTACGTATCAAATTACCATACTACTCTCCACAAATATGTACAATTATGTCAATAAAAAAAGGCATATTCAGTGTCAGCAGGAATAAGGACTGTCATAACCTTTTGCTGAGCAAGTTACCAGTTAGCAATCAAACATGCATTAATTCAGAACTTGGGATTCTATTTCTCTTTCTTACAGAAATAATCACGTAGAATGTAGGTTAAGATGGAAACACGACTGAACTATTTATATTACTCAAAAACAAGAGTCAGCTCTTAAGCGTACCAGTAGGTCAGTGGGGCTGAGTAGTAGTAGTTCAGTGGTAGAGTGCAGGCACACACACACACACATACCCACACACCCACACGCACGAAAGCTGCTCTGGGTTCAATCCTTGACACCAAAAACAAAGCTATAAAGGAATAAACAATTCTTAAAAATGGTATACCCACACAGCCATTAAAAATAGTTGAGCAGCTTTATACCTTAATATGCAATAGAAAATTTCAAAAATAAAGAGTAAAGACTGGAATTTTCTATTTTTTACCTTATGTACTTTTTCTGATGACTAAAATCTTTAAAAAGCATGAATCATTTTTGTAACTTTTAGGTATCATCTTAAAAGTTAAACGGTGACAGGCAAAACTACAAAAAAATAGGTCATATCATAAGCCTAATGTCAACATCAATACCAAATGTGATGGACTTCATTTTTAAAGCCTGAAATCAAGGGCTATAAAAATATAGATTCTTACTGTGACTTCTCTCTAACGTAATTACACCTGAGAAAGTAGAATTTTAAGTTAATTACCGTTTTATTTAAGGAACTTCGTTATTATTCAGGTTTATTGAATGTACTTGATTACCTGGCAAAATACGTTATTTGTATACACTACAAACAAAAATACCAACCAGAGTCTCTTGTTCCGAAGCTGGAATCTGTGAGGTGCTTACAGCACCATCAGTAGACACAGACATGTTGGTATTGCACATTGGCCTACAAACAGGGAAAAAACACACACGATAAAAACTTGAAATAATAAAATATCTGCGAAAAAAAACCAAAAGCTTATATGAGGCAATGCTTTTAACAATATCTTTTAAAATCAAAGCTATTTGATTAGCAAGTTGCTCCTTACCTGGATCAACGTCGGAAACGCGCCGTACCTGGGGGACCTCGGGTGTCAGTCTCCACACGCCAGCAAACAGCTGAGAAACAGGCACGGTTTAAATAGCCCCAGCTGGAGGCAAGTCAGGACTTAGCTCCTCCACAACTGGCGCGGGACGTGTCCCAACTTGACCAACCCAACAGGAAAAGCTGAGTCAACCTGCCCAGGGAGCCAGCCGAGTCTCGCCCAGCGGAGCAAACGGCGCGCAGCCGGAGCCAGGCTCAGACACCTGTTATCGGCCGACCCCTGCGGCGAGCAGGCAGCGACCCCGGAGCCCCCAGCCGCGGGGCTTGCCGGGAGCCCCAGGCCCGCCCCCAGCGCGGCCGTGGAGACCCGCCCTCCCTCCTGGCAATAACGCTAGGGCCTCCCAACCGAAAACGGTCACCCAGCCGCGAGCCTCGCTGGTCCACGAGCGGCCCCTGGGCAATAGGCCGGCGAAGGTGAAACGCGGAGCGAGATGGGGAACCCTCCCAGCCCAGCCGGGAACGGAGCTTCCCTTCCGGCGCGTACCTACTCCTCCCTGCGGCTCCGCGCTGAGTGCATGCGGGCAGGACCGGGTCCTTCAGGGGGAGCACGGAGGCCCTACGCCCGGGGACTCGACAACCATGCTGCTCGGGGGCCCGGGCGCTCGGAGCCCGGCGAGGAAGGCGGCTCTTCACGGAGAGTGCCGCCCGACCTCGGCCGGCGGCTCCGGGCCACCCTTCAGTTACCCGGGGCGGTGAAGGGCCCCAACAAAGCAGAGTTCCGCGGCGCGCGCCCCCTGTCGCCAGTGGGGAGCGCGCCGGAAGCTGCGACCCATCCGGGCATCTGCGCATGCGCGCCTGGCCACGCTGTCTCGGGCCAATAGGGGACGAGCTGAGGCCAGGGGCGTGACAGGTGGGGCGGGGTCGCGTTCCCGCGCAGTGCGCGCAGAATCTGTAGCAATTATGTTGGTTTTTTTCCATTTCTTGTGTTTACACCTCCGACCGCAACCATAACTAGGGTAGTACGTATTCTCGTGTGGGTCCCTCCAAAAAGAAACCAAAAATAACAGCTGTGTGGTATTTTAAGCGCATTCCGCGAGCAGCTGGAGTCGTATACAAATGAGTTATTGCCAAACTTTTAAAGAAACATTAAAAATAACACCTGAAGTAGACTAACACGCCGGTATTTACAAACGTTCTAGTTGGTGGTTGTCGTGGAGGCTTAGATAACATCCTAAATTACAGAAAAAATTTCGGTGGTATATACCTGTAATCACAATACTCAAGAGGCTGCTCAAGTTCAAGACCAGCCCAAGCCACAAAAGGAGTGGAGACCACTCTATAGCCTAGACCATATATATGGCCATGTATGTGTGTAATCTCAAGACCATCTCCCAAAACAAAACTCTGTATGTGTGCAAAAAGTAAGTGATAGTATTAAGTATCAAATGCCAGTAAGTGTGCTAGTATGAACAATCATAAGCATTCAAAATGGAATTACTGAGTGTAGAGGCAGTTCACAAAAGCCTCAGAAACCACCACACATTAATGCTCTTGGAGAACAGTGATAAAACTTAAAAGCAGAGTATTACAGGGCATAAGAAAAACATCAAGCTGGGCATGGTGGCGCATGCTTTTAGTCCCAGCTCTGGGGAGGCAGAGGCAGGTAGATCTCTGTGAGTTCAAGGCCAGCCTGGTGTACATAGTGAGTTCCAGGCCAGCTGGGACTACAAGAAGACCCTGTCTCAAAAAGACCAAAAAGAGAGAAAGAGAAAGAAAAAAGGAGAAAGAAAAAGACATCAAAAGAGCTAGAAGAGGTAAGAGGACTACTTGAGCAATAATAAGTTAATCTGACTTACATGAACATCAGAAAATGTTGTAAGATTTGAGTCTTAAATGCCAAGGACATAATTAAGGCTTTGGACTCATTGGGCAGTGTGTAAAGATGGGAAGTATATAAACAAGTAATTTACTTCAAACTGACTTCCCAGAACCACTGAACAGAATTAAGCCTCCTAGATTGACTTTTCCCTTCTGCTCTTGTTTTCAAAAAGTTCTCATGGGAAAATTACTACAGCAGAAAGGAAGAGAAGAACTGATAGTCATCGTTTCCTAATACAGCCAGAAAAGAAGAGGAGCAGAAAATAAGAAGTGATAGGATTTAATGAGAGAGAGAGAGAGAGAGAGAGAGAGAGAGAGAAGGGAGAGAGATTATACTAGTTTTATTTAAAAAATGAAATCCTGTGACTGAAAAAAAACCATATAACTGGAATGTATAGGAGCCAAAGAGATAGTTCAGCAACAGATTGGAAACATCAATGAGCGGATTTACAAGCTGGAAGATCGCTCAGCAAAAAAAAAAAAAAAAAAAAATTCAAGGACCTGGTATTCAAAATATACTATGTGTACTAGGGGCAACAAAATATACCAACCCAAAATAGCACCATATTTTGGGCTGGCAATTTAGAGAAAGGGCAGACACAAGCATCATTCTGAAAACCAGTCCCTTTGTAATAAAGGTACAGGTATATTAGTAAAGTTGGCAGCAGGCCCAAGCAGTAGCATATGCTGAGACCTAAACACAATCTGGGTAAGGTCATTTCACAGTGACTGGAGATCCCCACACCTGGTCAAACAGAGACTGCTGCAAGCTATCATCTGCTTCTCTGAGGGCCAGTGCTAACATTAACTCCAGATTCTTTATCTGTATAGCAACACAACCTTTTAATTACTGTGCATTTGTCCCCTCACCCTCCCCTGTAGGCTACCTGCTTTGGGAAGCCCCAAGCTCCTGTTTCTCTCTGTAGCTCAGGATATTAGATAAGCTCTGATCAGTTGGCCCTTCTTTGAGTCTTTTATGAGGTTCTCATGCATTTGCACATAATAAATTTGTATGCAACTTCAAATTTCAGTTTGCTACTTAAATTAATCTAGGCATTGGAGAGATGGCTCAGCAGTTAAGAATACTGGCTGCTCTTGCAGAGGATCTGGGTTGGATTTCCAGCACCCACATAACAGCTAGCAACTGCCCTTAACTCCAGTTCTAGGGGATCTGGTACCCGCTGCTGACCTCTCCAGGCACTACATAACACAGATACACTTACATACATGCAGGCAAAACATTCATACATAAAAAATTAAAAGTAAATAAATTACTCCATCTTCAGAGAAGAGGAAAGCATTTAAGTCCCCTGCAGTCCAAGCACTGCCATAGGATGAGAGGTGAACAAGATAGTCCTACCCCTTGCTATAATGGATGCTAGGATACAAGATGACTCTAGGTCCAATCAGAGAGACCCAGTACTGTTAACACTAAGACTGGAGGGAGCAAAACATCACCAGTCACTGATGAGTACTGGATGAGGCATTACAGAACAGAAAGTTCACAAGTAGAAAATCTAGAACTGAGGCTCAGACTGGAGTCAAAGCTTCAAACAGCAAAAGAGTAAGAGGATCAATGAAGAAGCCAACCAACCCAGACCATAGAGTCACAGAATCAAATCATGATATTATTGCCAAAGGAAAGGACCATGAGGAATGAGAAGCAAACTGGATTTGCTCTCCAAAGCAATTGCTATTGCTTACTTGGTAGAATACTTGCTTAGCATGCACAAGATCTGATATTAGAATTCCAGACCAGAATGCTTTCAGGCCATGGCCACCTGCCAGCAGCCTGATTCTTACAACTGGTAAAGAAAATGGCAAGCTTCCTACTGATAGCTTGATGGTACATCTCTAATCCCCTAACAGACTCCCCAGGTGCTGGAAATCCAGGGCGATGGCGGATAACATTCTCACTTCCCCAACAAAGCTTACAGGCTCTCAGACAGCCAGACTTTGGGATGTCAAAAGACTCCTGGTGGCCTCACGTTTCCCTCACCTGTATAACAGGTACACCTTAACTAGATGAGCCCCTCCTCCTCATTTCCCCATATCCTCTGAGGAGCACATTCTTCCCAGCAATGCAAGACTCTCCCCACAGCTCTTTTGGTGCCCACAGTGGAGCCTCCCCCTTCCTCTGAGACCTATAAAGGACATCCTACTCTGCCTTGTGGGTCTGAACTCTCCTCAGAGACCCCACCATGCTGCCTTCTGTCTCTCTGTGGCATTAATAACTCTTCTAATTTCTTACCCAAGGAGACAGTCTGCCTCAATGTCCCTCTTGCGCCCTGCACCCAATACTTTTCACCTGGGTGCAGTCCCCAATACCAAAAAGAGGGAAGCAGACCCTAGTGCTGCTGTGTGCCTGCATCCTATGGTTAGCCTTTGTCACTTTGCCCTTCATGATGCTTACCTGAGGCTTTTCTGGGGACCAGATAGATGATGTTTTTAAAAACTCATTAGTTTTATTTATTCTGTGGGTGTGAGGGTACCATGGAATGCAAGTGGAGGTCAGAGGACAACTTATGGAATTGGCTATCTTCTTCCACCATGTGGGTCCCAGGGATTGAACTCAGGTCATCAGGCTTGGCAGCAGGTGCATTTGCCAGCTGAGCCACCTCACTGACTCATGATGCTTATTTTTTAATAACATTGCTCCTAATGCCACCTTCTTGCTCCGAGATGGAGATATCTAAAATGTCTTTGTAGTTTTGAGTGTGGGCATGTGTTCTGCTAAGCTACACACCAAGGGCCAGTTCTTGGCCTGAGATTCTGGTTTTCATGGGAACAACACAAGTTGAGCTCATTTGGTAGCTTTTACCATAGAAGCCCTTAAAGGAGGTACAGGAACAGAAGTCATCTTTTGAAGGAACAAAATTGACAATCTCCTTTATACCCCATAAATCCAAAATGTAAGATCAGATCTCATGTAAAAGTTGCTGAACCATTCAACCAGCAAAAGATGTGCACTAAGGGAGGTAGCATTCTCACTATTGTAGGTGGAAAACTTGCTGGAGTTTCCTTCAGGTCAAGCAAGCCCTGGATAAGATGGCAGAGTTGAATAGTAAAAAAGGTTATTTCCAGTCGGGTGTGGTGGCGCACACCTTTAATCCCAGCACTCGGGAGGCAGAGGCAGGCAGATCTCTGTGAGTTCAAGGCCAGCCTGGTCTACATAGTGAGTTCCAGGACAGCTCGGGCTACAGGGAGACCCTGTCTCAAAACGTGATTTCATGTTGTGCTTGGTGGCATATCTTAGCTACCTGGGAGGCTGAGTATTTGTGTTGTTTGTTTTAAGATATTTTTTAAATATTATTTTTATTTTATGTGTAAGTGTATTGCCTGCATGTATATAAGTGCACCCTTGTCATGTAATGCCTACAGAGGTCAGAAGAGGGCGTCGGATGTCTTGGAACTTGAATTAAGTATGGTTGTTAGCTGCCATGTGGGGGCTGGGAACCGACCCTGAGTCCTCTGCAAGAGCAGCCAGTACTCTCAATGTCTGAGTCATCTCTCCAACCCCAGGAAGCTGAGTGTTGTAATGTGGCCTTTTTTCTCCAGGCACAACATACTCATCCCATCACCATCTTGGAGTAGAGGTTACCTTGGCCTGGTAGCCATGGCAGCTAACTAAGCAGAAAGGTACAGAGATGGCTAGGTAGGTAGGTGCAGACACTCCTTAATAAAAAGGTATACAGGAGGGTCTGAAGACCCTCACCTGATATTCCAGCCAGTACTCCTTCCCTCCACCCCACCCCCCAAGTGCTAGTGATACTGGGAGAGGCTATACATAGGAAGTGGAAGATTAACTAAAAGAGGGACTCCACAATGCGGCTTCCTTGAGGTCGTCATCCTCCACGGGGTGGAACTTGGCAGTAATACAGCCGATTTGGGGGTCACTCA